ATTTGACTAATAAATTATTGATGAAAATGAGATTAAGTGTGATATAAATTAAAACATTAGGGAAAATCAAAGTAATTTGTATTAAAATTATGAGATTTATTATATTTTTCCTAAACCCCAAAAGCGGTCGGTGTAATTTACTCTATTTTTATAACATACTATACTTATTGTTTTATTTAGGATAAATTACAAATATATTGCTGAGTTTTGCTTAAAATACTAATTGCCTTTTGTGATTATAAAAATTATTCCCCTCAAAAAAAGAGTAAATTATTATCTCTCTAAGACCATCTCCAATCCAGACTTACATCATTCATCAAATTTGATAAAATTTTGGTAAAAGTTGTTCCAACAATTTCATTAAATTAGCATCAAATAAAGGGAGTCCTACTTTTTTTTATCAAATAAAGAGAGCGTTTAACCTTTCATTAATTCCACAAATGACCGTTGGTGGATGATCGACCGGACAACTGGCTGGATGATCAGATTGTGAAAAATTTGAAGAAAATTTACTCTAAGCTGGGCGACCACTTGAACATCTTTCCAGTTGTCCTCTCGATTGATCGGTTGTTTGATGAAAACTGAAAATTTAGCGTTGGAATGCTTGTATCAGATGAAGTTTCTAACCCAAAAATCTTGACTTAAATTTGATATAAATAAAATAAAAAAAGAGAGAGTAAGTGTTAGGAATGCTCTAAGAAATTAATTTGTTTGGTTTGGTTTTTGAAAATTACTTTTTAATTCATATTTTAATCAACTTATTTTTATTTTCTAAATGTACTTATTTTAGATACATTTAAAAAGTAAAATATTTATACAAAAATATGATTTTTTTTAATAAAAAAATTATAATAAAAATATGCACATTTTTTTTTTTATCTATTTATATTTTTTTCATCTTTAAAATTTTGTCTTTAGGCTATGTTTGAGACGTTGGTTGCAGACTATTTTAGCCCAAAAAAGATAAAATAGTCTAAAAAATTAATAAGATAAATGTCACATCTAAATCATAATCATTTCATTTTTTCTCTTAAAAAAGTCAAAAAATTCATCCCAAATGAAACTTTTTAGCCTCAAGCTAAAAAAACTAAGAAAACCAAAAAAAAAGACCTAACCCACATCCTAAAAGAAAACTTAGGAGATGACTGGTGTGGATTATTAGAAGCTAAAAGCTGATAATCAGAAAGCTGTAAGCAGAAACACCCCTTCTCTAACTTTTAAATAATCAGTTTTTCTCAGCTTATTTAAGTTATTTCTGCCTAAAAAACTGTAAACAGAAGTTACACCAAACAGTCTAGCACAGATTCCCAAATTAAAATAAGCTATAATCACATTTTATAATCCACACCAAACACCCCCTTAGTTTTGGTAGCGTTTGGTAGAGTTTTAGAATTATGATTTGAGAATAGAGTTGTATTTTGAATTTGTGAGTTTTGGAATTATGATTTGAAATGAAAATTTGTTTGGTTATGAGTTTTGAAAAGAGTTTTGAATTGAATTTTGAATTGAGGCCAAATTTGGCATGTGCCCAAAAAGCCAAAAAGTCAAAAAGTTAAAAAATTATCACTATTCACCAAAAGTCAAAAAGTATGGCTGCACAATTCCTAATCCTAATTTTCCCCTACACACTAATTTATATAATTTTTTAATACACATTTTTCCATAAAAAGTCAAAAAATTAACCCAAACAACCATATTTTTTCCTCAACTTTTTAGTCTAAAAAGTCAAAAAGTGCATTTATTTAGGACATTCCAAACAACCCTGACTGTTGAATTTTTTAAATGAGTTTTAAAATAAGAAAAATTGTTTGAGTATGAGTTTTAAAAAGGGTTTTCAAAATTTTCAAAAACTAATAACCCATAACCAAACAAACAATTCAAAATTCTATTAAAAACTCATAACCAAGCTCTTTTTAAAATTCAATTCTAAAAATAATTATTGAAAAAATTTATTTAATTTTTTTTTTCACATAACAGTTGCAAAAAAAAAAAAAAAAAAAAATTGCTCCGGTCAACTGATCGAATGTCTGGGAGAACGACTAAGTATACCCAAAAATTCAAAAACTGTCTAGGATAATGTCTGAGAGGACAACCGGATAGACCAAATTTCAAAATTCAAAATTCAAGTATGTTGTCTACTATCCATATTCTGAAAAGAGTTATCAAACATAAATATAAAATTAATTTTTAAAAATTATATCTAAATACAACACTCAAATATGATTCATGGTTACAACTCTATTAAAACAATTCTTCACAATGTTTTCTTTGGGGTCAAGTTCATAAATTCCTCAGAGAACTTCAGGCAGTATCATTGGAATGAACCCACATGTGAAGCAACTTGAGAAGCCTTCATGGCTAGCTAATCATTGCACAAAAGAAACCTAAGGTATCTTTTTCATTATTTATTTATTTATTTATTAGAGTCTTGTTAACCTTAACAAAATCCTTTTTAATCAACAATGTTAAACATAATTACTTATAATGTTTCAAAATGAAAAAAGGAAGATCCCAAATAATAATAAAAAATTAAAGCAACATGAGGATATTTCGATCCACACCTTTTATTTAGGAAAAATATAAAAATCATATGCAAACAAAATAACATATTTTGAATATAGATTTTTTATAACTTTGATATATCTACATTTTTTAAAAAGATTTATATAATTACTTTAAATGTTAGTAAATTTGTATTTTAATTATTTATGCAGTAGGAGTAATAAATGTATACAAACTCAATATTTTGATATAATACTTTTGAATACGGTGCGTACATTCACCATGTTACTCCAAAATATTGAATAATTTTATGAGTTCGTTTGGAATGTGAGTTGACTTTTTAATTTTTTAATCTAGGACTAAAAAATCTCGTTTGGAATAGGTTTTTTTTTTTATTTTTGTGAGTGAAAAAATGAAATGATTATGGATTGGATGTAATGTTTTGTCTTATTGGATTAAAAAGTCTATTTTGTATTTTTTTTTGACTAAAATAGTCAAAAAGCATGTATATTTGAAATAAGGTTGGTTATTTAGGAAAAATATAAAAATCATATGCAAACAAAATAACATATTTTGAATATAGATTTTTTATAACTTTGATATATCTACATTTTTTAAAAAGATTTATATAATTACTTTAAATGTTAGTAAATTTGTATTTTAATTATTTATGCAGTAGGAGTAATAAATGTATACAAACTCAATATTTTGATATAATACTTTTGAATACGGTGTGTACATTCACCATGCTACTCCAACATATTGAATAATTTTATGAGTTCGTTTGAAATGTGAGTTGACTTTTTAATTTTTTAATTTTTTTAATCTGAGGCTAAAAAGTCTCGTTTGTGATAGGTTTTTTTTTATTTTTGTGAGTGAAAAAATGAAATGATTATGGGTTGGATGTAATGTTTTGTCTTATTAGATTAAAAAGTCTATTTTGTATTTTTTTAACTAAAATAGTCAAAAAAAATCAAAAAGCATGTATATTTGAAATAAGGTTGGCTAAGAGCATTTGGATCAAAATAGTCAAATTTTTAGTTAAATTTTACTTAAAAGACTATTTTTCAATTTTAGCAAACCATCTTTTCAAATACATTCTCTTACAAGCTCTCTATTTTTTATTTCATTTATTGAGTTTTCTTTCCGTAGTTACTTATAATTAGTGGTTTGATATTCAAGCAAAATAGTTAGTCAATAATTAAATTTAATGAAATGTATTTATATGATTTTGCGCTATAAAATAATTAAAAAAAAATTCTAACGACCTTAATAATAATCCCCTAAACTTGCTCTTAGGTTTGCGTTACATCAAAAGATACCCCCAACAATCTATATTCAGCATTATTTTGTCTTTTATGTATGCATATGTTCTTGTCTTGTACCATCTTATTGACCTCAATCTTTTTATGATCTTTATATTAGTTCTCATCCTGCCATCGTTAAACTTTTTTTATTATTAAGCCATTCATTATACTTGTAAGATAGGAACAAATGTACAATAAATATATTGGAGTTTATTGGATTTTTTTAAGGAAAATAACAATTTAGTGGGTATTTTAAAAGTTAATTACAAATTAAAGATAAAATTTATAAATATTAATAATTAAAATCATTAATATTTTCATGAATTTGTAATAGTTTTGTGAAACTACCTTTGCCTGTGTTTGGCAAGTGGGTTTACAGGCTTTTTTGGCTATTTTAGCCACAAAACACAAAATAGGCTATTTTAGCCATAACAAACAAAACATCACATCTAACCCATAATCATTACATTTTTCTCTCACAAAAAAACTCAAAAAAGCCAAAAAGCCAAAAAGTCCTTCCCAAACTAAACTTTTAAACCCAGGCTAAAATAGCTAAAAAAGTTAAAAAGTCAAAAAGTCAACCCACTTCCCAAACAGAGACTTTATGTGGTAAATTTTTGTTTTTATTTTTGTTTTTGGTCCCCTTCATAGACAGCTTTGATTAGATGTTGGTTAGTTGGTAAGGAAAGCAGCTTTAAATTTGAAAAGGTAGTGTGTAATATTGTTTAGGAAATGCTAACCACAACCATTGGGATTGTGAAACTGTTCATCATTGTAATTCAAATGAGAGTATGGGACTCTTTATTATAGTTAAATGAGTTGATTATAATTTATTTTAATTAAAATTTTATATTAAATTGTTTAATTATTTATAAATTAGGATACAGATATTTTTTTACTTTTAATTTTTTAATATCAATTTTTAACAATGAGCAGTAACAAACAGGCTTCTGTATCTGCCGTAGACTTTTCCTTTTCTTTTTTCTTTTTCTTTTTTATTTTAAAATTTTAAAAATGTCAGCTCTTTGATAAAAGTAGATCCTCTATTCTACCCTCCAATTTTCCGATTTTGATTTGACAGTTGTGAGGTTGTCAATGAAAGTTCTCACTCCTCAGAGAGGGTAGGATGGTCATTTTCCAATCTTTTATTATTTTTAATTATTAGAGACAAGATTACGTGTATCTTGTCTTTCCTGACAAAAACTTGAAAAGAAAATCAGAGAGATTTCTCTTCTTGATAATATATGATTTTTTTTAATTTTATTTTTTATGACGTTTGTTTGAGAAGGAGGGGTACCCATTTCGCTTTAGATTGAGAATAATTCAACATTATAACATTCTGTGAGCTTTCTAGGATTCATCTATCATCTCTTCGTTTGGAAAACATTTTTGATTTTCTTCTTTACCAATTACTCAAAATCAGTGAGCAATAAATGTCCTCAATTTTTACTAGTGTTTTGTAAGATCTTGGATTCTGGGTATTTTTTTTTTCAAAATTTAGTTTAGTACTAATATACTTTCTTGGATTGTTGGTCGTGTATATAACTTTTGCTTTTCTCTTCTTTTTTGTTTCTGTTGTGGGGTGTCAAAATTGACAAGAGTTTCTGTCAATATGTTAATAATTTTTTCTTTTGAAATTCCTATATAGAATTTTTGCCTAAGAAAATGAAGGGAATTTGAAGTCATATAGTAATTTAGAGATTTGTGTTTCTTGATTCTTGTTATAGTTGTTGGAAAGAAATGAGGAGTGGTTGTTGTTTGTTGTTATGTGTCAATGAAGAAGAAGCAAAGTAAGTAAAGTATTTTTGTTTGTTTGTTTTGTTTTGTTTTGTTTTTTTTTTTTTTGATGAGGGTTTTGTTGTGCAATATCCACTGTCCTCCATTCATTTGCTTTTGCAAACCCTCCTCTGCTGCTGCTCATCTGTACACTCCTGGGCCATTGAAATTGGAAAACACCCCACTTCCACATGTTACTTCAACACTTGTGTCTGTTGTTACTCATCATGATACCACCTCTCATCAACTATCTGGAGGTGGTGGTGAGGCCACTGAGGCTAAGGAAGCCAGTTCAGAATCAGATGGGAATCAACAACAACAACAACAACAAGCTGAGAATCCTCTCAAAAGCTGTATCAGGAAGCCGTGTGCCGAGCACAAAGAGGTTGAAAAGAAGAAAGTACAATGGATTGACAACATGGGGAAAGAACTTGTTGAGATCAAAGAATTTGAATCCAGGTGAGGCGGTCTCTCTCTCTCTCTCAATTTGGTTTCTGACATTTCTGTTTCTTTGTATTTATTCTTCTTTTGGTCAATTGGGATTTATTTCTGCACTAATTGTGACTCATGCCCATGGAGTTAGTGATTTTAGATTAAGTCAATAAATTAATCTCACCTTATAATTGTCTGTCTTCAATTGCAATATATAGGTAGGATGTAGGCAAATTGAAAAAGAAGAAGAAAGATTCATTAGGAAAGATATATAAGAATTGACATCCAGAAATTGGGAAAAAGGAAAGATAATGAATTAAATTATAAGACAACTCACATTGCCTGCAAGAGAGAGAGAGAGAGAGAGAGAGCTAGCTAATTTGTAAATGTCAAATGCTAAAGAACCCAGCAGAAACACATGCCGGCAAAGTGGGATAGAAATCCTACTGTGAAGATGCTTGCTTAATTTGAAATCTCGGATTTCATGTGTTGGATATTACTGAGTGGGAAATTGTAATACATCTGAGATAGCTTGGTAGCCATACATAGAAAACAAATTAATGAGTTATTTATGGAAATTATGCAATTGAAAATGGGGTAATATGATTGGTCAAGTGGAGTGAGTTCTTCTAGCAGTAATACTGAGTAAACACTTTACCATAGAGGTTGTTGGAGCATTAGTTAGAAATTTGAATCTCTTCAAAACTAGTCCTAAACAAAAGAAGCAAAAATAAGAAAATATTTACAGCTGAAGAAGAATATTTTGACTGATGAAAGAAAGAAGCATGACAAGGGTATTGAATAATGGTGGTGAAGTTTGTTAGTAGAAATTTCCAAGCCTTTTTTGGGTGAATAGAAATTTCCAAGGCTGTTAGCGAATTTCTTTGTAGAGTGTCCAAAGATCATATTTGGAATCCTAGAACTCTGGAGGGTTTGGCCTCTAGGGTAATGTAAACTCTGTTCGCACAGCAAACTCCAATGGTCATACGCCAATCATGAATACTCCTTCCCAAGGCCAAGGGGCATAACAACTGGTAGGGATACATACCCAATCTTGAGGAGGCATCCCCCAATTTTTCTGTCAAGAAAAATTTTGTCGGACTGACTTTTCTTTTCAAATTACATATTTCATTCTCATAAGCCCAATAATTCTTCAGAGTGACTCGTGTCTTATGCGCTCATTTGGATCTCTGTAATAAAATTGATGGACGTAACTCCAATGGGTTTGCTCAAATGCTGAAAAATGTTTTTTATTTTTGTTTTTTATCCTCTCTCTCCCAGCCCTCTTTCAGGAAGAATGTTTCATTTGACCATAAGCATTGTGATCCTTTCTCCTGTACTTGTTTAACCTGTTGGCATGACTTCATAGAAGGAAGAAAATATCCACCATTTGTACCATCCTCAATTATCTTTCAGATGAAACTTAATGAGCCATGGTACAAAATTATAAGAAGTATTGATTTAACAAAGAACCCTCAATGGTAAAACATTGGCTTAATAACCTTCAGGTTATGTGTTCGAGTGTCGGGACAACTACTTTGTACACTATGCCAAAGGTTAGGTGTGTACCTAATCTTCCCATGCCAAACACACATTAATGTGTACTAATTAGGCGTTTTTTTTATTGATTTGACAAAGAAGAAAAATAGGATATTATTTTTCTTTTTGATTAGGAAAAAGAATATATGGGAGTTCATGCATAGTTAATTTTGGTGGTTGGGCAAAATGGACTCTTGAGTCCTGATAATTTGTTAGCATAGTGAACGTAAATATCTATACAATTGTTTATAACGATGGCCCCTGTTTCCTTTTCTAAAAACATTTATAGGGGTAGATCATTAGTTTCTCCTTTCTAAATGCAGCTGTTCAATATCTATAGGATGTACCCCTAATGATGTCGTGAGAAAGCACCTCCTCTCTCTTCTACCTTATCAGACAGTTCCCTAACTTAAGGCCTGGAAGTGATTCTCCGTCACTTTCCTGTTGTCTGAGAACTTAACTTGATACAGCAAAGTCAGACATGCTTCTTGGTATAGCTCAGAATTTGTCATGAAAACTATAGTTTGATGGTATGTATTTTTTATCTCACCTTCGTAGATAATTGAAAGCAGACCAGTTTATTTCTGGCCATCTACCCATGAAATCCCTTTGTAATTCTCTTAGAGCAAGTGGGAAGCAATCTCATGAATTTTTCACAGATAAAGTCACCGATCTGGTTTTCACAAGAATCTAATTAACCATCATATAATCTATATCTAATAGTTGAGGATCCTGGTACATGGTTCACCTCCGTCATAAATCCATGTGGTTGAATTATGACTTGTGGAAAATCCGTCTCCAATTTTCCTTTTTGTCTTTAACCAAAAGGCAATCAGGAAAGAAACTAGTTACCATTGACACATTTGAAAAGAGGCTGTCTCAGAACGTGTCAAAATTTATTAATTGTTGCTATTGAAAGCACATTACCTTCATTCTCATTGAGAAGGTTGTTTTTCAGCTATAATCTAATTATGATTTTATCTTTTGGCTTCATTTTATCAACAGTGATACAAGAGACACCAACAACAAACATGAGAATCGAAGCTGTGTTTGTATAATTCTTTGACGCTGCTTAACCAGAAAAACAAGTTACTTGTTGCATCTTCAGATATATATATTCTTTGCTGCGGGTCCTCAGCTCTCAAATTTAAGAATTTTTCTACGACAACAGTTTGATTTGGCTGAGACTTGGGATGGGATCCCTTTGTAAGAAAGAGAGGCTATTGTTTCTTTTTACAGCTATGTTGATTCTTCTACCAAGAATGAAAACTGCACTACTTGTTAATCTTTTCTTCTTTTTTCCTTATTTATTTATTTATTTTATCATTCCTTCTCTGCTGTAATATCAGAATAGTTTTATTAATTGATATTCTCCCTTGACGGAAGCTGAGGCAATTTGGCAGTTTTGTTGGGACCAAATAGTGAGCAACATATATATGATTGATATTGACAACAAGAAGCTGAGTGGAAATCCAATTCCTTCCCATGTAAAACCTTCGACTCCTTGATCTTGGCCTCCTTCCTGTGGCAGTGGCAGTTCCTATGGACATGACACCTGAATTTGCATTCAGCATAAAACCTCTGTTATATATATGAGCATAGTATGAAGCGATCTTTTGTTCATTATCATTTTCCTAATCCCATATAGGTCTATGGTTCTCTGCATGCAGAATGAGGCTAGAAAAGCCAATCAAACTGCCATGGTGGCAGAGAAGAAGAGAATGGAAGCTCCGCCAGAGTCTAAGGGTGTTTCTAAACAAAAATGGATTGAGGAGAGGAAGAAAAAAATTGGCAAGCTTTTGGATTCGAATGGTTTGGATATGACTAAGGCATATATATGCTAGTCCATAGGGGTTAAAAAGAGCCTGCTCCGTTTGGTTGGAATGGTATGATTAGTTATTTTTGGTTACGTAATTATATATTTCACATTGTGTGTCATGCGTAACTTAATTCATTTTCTTAAATGTTATTTGCACATATATTTTCAACTTTGGAATGCAGCTAAACTCAACAAAAGTCTTTGTCCCAATTACTTCGGGTTAACTAAAGGGATCCATTTCCACCAATTGTTTCTATTTGCAATCTTATCAATCTGTATCTGGGAGATTGGGAACAGAATGTCATGCTTCCCTGAACTGCATGAACTTTGATTAACTCATTCATTATGCTCTCCGCTTCTCTCCTTCTATTGACAACCTTGGGAAGGTTAGAACTTTTGTCTCTCCAGCATTCATCTGCCAAATAAATTTGGAATCTAGTTCCAGTTACAATTGAATTGATCTTACCAAAATTCTGAATGCTCCTTAGAATTTTATTACAAATTTTGGGACTTCCTGTGTTGAATTGATAATGATTATAATCAATCAAACATTTGCCACCATGCATGGTTTTGGATCTATTACTCCATTTGAAATGGAATCACAAAATTTTTGAAATCTCATTAGCATTTAAAACCTTACGAGGTTTGTACAGAATATTGCTCCGAGTATGATGTAGGTGGTAATTTACTTTTGAGAGGCCTCCTACGGGGATATTCCTGTTAAATTAGGTTCTGAGAATACATAACAGTGAGACCGCAGAAGCTGATGGATCGGCTGAGATCCCATGGAGGAAGATACATTGCTCTTCATCTGAGATATGAGAAAGACATGTTATCTTTCACTGGCTGTACTCATGGTCTTACTGATGCAGAATCTGAAGAGCTAAGAATAATGAGGTAAATATCTTGTATATATATACATGCAAAATTTTATTTATCAAAAAAATGATGATATACCTATGTACAGATGTACGTATGTGATTTCATACATTTGTACATGTCTAGGCTATATGTTGACAAGTGGCAAAACTTCCTGCCTCTGCATTGGATGTAATGTACCTCCACTAGAAGATGAAGAAGATAAATTCAACAGAACAGAGAAAAGGAGGCTTTTGTCCATTAACCCCCTGAAGAGGTGGGAATATTTCTTCAAGCTCTCGGTTACCCTCCATCAACATTGATTTATATTGCTGCTAGGGATAGTTTGTGATGTTCTAGGCTAAATTCAATGATGACACCTACTTTCCTATTTTCATTGAGTATTGCTGCCTGAATTCTGAAAAAATCCACTGAAGTAACATTTGATTTTAATTGATGTATTTAAAGTCTGAACATGAATTGTTTCTATTCTTGAGTGTGCAATGTATTGTTTCTTATTTTTAATTTTGTTTTCAGGCTTAGTTTATTTATTATTTTAATAAACATCAATTATTAGTTCTTAATAATTGTTTGATAGGTATTTTTTTTTGTTTTCATTCTCATTGAGAAGGTTGTTTTTCAGCTATAATCTAATTATGATTTTATCTTTTGGCTTCATTTTGTCAACAGTGATACAAGAGACACCAACAACAAACATGAGAATAGAAGCTGTGTTTGTATAATTCTTTGACGCTGCTTAACCAGAAAAACAAGTTACTTGTTGCATCTTCAGATATATATATTCTTTGTTGCGGGTCCTCTGCTCTCAAATTTAAGAATTTTTCTACGACAACAGTTTGATTTGGCTGAGACTTGGGATGGGATCCCTTTGTAAGAAAGAGAGGCTATTGTTTCTTTATACAGCCATGTTGATTCTTCTACCAAGAATGAAAACCGCACTACTTGTTAATCTTTTCTTCTTTTTTCCTTATTTATTTATTTATTTTATCATTCCTTCTCTGCTGTAATATCAGAATAGTTTTATTAATTGATATTCTCCCTTGACGGAAGCTGAGGCAATTTGGCAGTTTTGTTGGGACCAAATAGTGAGCAACATATATATGATTGATATTGACAACAAGAAGCTGAGTGGAAATCCAATTCCTTCCCATGTAAAACCTTAGACAACTCACATTGCCTGCAAGAGAGAGAGAGAGAGAGAGAGAGAGAGAGAGCTAGCTAATTTGTAAATGTCAAATGCTAGAGAACCCAGCAGAAACACATGCCGGCAAAGTGGGATAGAAATCCTACTGTGAAGATGCTTGCTTAATTTGAAATCTCGGATTTCATGTGTTGGATATTACTGAGTGGGAAATTGTAATACATCTGAGATAGCTTGGTAGCCATACATAGAAAACAAATTAATTAGTTATTTATGGAAATTATGCAATTGAAAATGGGGTAATATGATTGGTCAAGTGGAGTGAGTTCTTCTAGCAGTAATACTGAGTAAACACTTTACCATAGAGGTTGTTGGAGCATTAGTTAGAAATTTGAATCTCTTCAAAACTAGTCCTAAACAAAAGAAGCAAAAATAGAAAATATTTACAGCTGAAGAAGAATATTTTGACTGATGAAAGAAAGAAGCATGACAAGGGTATTGAATAATGGTGGTGAAGTTTGTTAGTAGAAATTTCCAAGCCTTTTTTGGGTGAATAGAAATTTCCAAGGCTGTTAGCGAATTTCTTTGTAGAGTGTCCAAAGATCATATTTGGAATCCTAGAACTCTGGAGGGTTTGGCCTCTAGGGTAATGTAAACTCTGTTCGCACAGCAAAGTCCAATGGTCTTACGCCAATCATGAATACTCCTTCCCAAGGCCAAGGGGCATAACAACTGGTAGGGATACATACCCAATCTTGAGGAGGCATCCCCTTATTTTTCTGTCAAGAAAATTTTTGTCGGACTGACTTTTCTTTTCAAATGACATATTTCATTCTCATAAGCCCAATAATTCTTCAGAGTGACTCGTGTCTTATGCGCTCATTTGGATCTCTGTAATAAAATTGATGGACGTAACTCCAATGGGTTTGCTCAAATGCTGAAAAATGTTTTTTATTTTTGTTTTTTATCCTCTCTCTCCCAGCCCTCTTTCAGGAAGAATGTTTTATTTGACCATAAGCATTGTGATCCTTTCTCCTGTACTTGTTTAACCTGTTGGCATGACTTCATAGAAGGAAGAAAATATCCACCATTTGTACCATCCTCAATTATCTTTCAGATGAAACTTAATGAGCCGTGGTACAAAATTATAAGTATTGATTTAACAAAGAACCCTCAATGGTAAAACATTGGCTTAATAACCTTCAGGTTATGTGTTCGAGTGTCGGGACAACTACTTTGTACACTATGCCAAAGGTTAGGTGTGTACCTAATCTTCCCATCCCAAACACACATTAATGTGTACTAATTGGGCATTTTTTTTATTGATTTGACAAAGAAGAAAAATAGGATATTATTTTTCTTTTTGATTAGGAAAAAGAATATATGGGAGTTCATGTTCATGCATAGTTAATTTTGGTGGTTGGGCAAAATGGACTCTTTGAGTCCTGATAATTTGTTAGCATAGTGAGGTAAATATCTATACAATTGTTTATAACGATGGCCCCTGTTTCCTTTTCTAAAAACATTTATAGGGGTAGATCATTAGTTTCTCCTTTCTAAATGCAGCTGTTCAATATCTATAGGATGTACCCCTAATGATGTGGTGAGAAAGCACCTCCTCTCCCTCCTACCTTATCAGACAGTTCCCTAAGTTGATATTCACTTTTGGTTTAACGATAAAGATATTACACTTAAGGCCTGGAAGTGATTCTCCGTCACTTTCCTGTTGTCTGAGAACTTAACTTGATACAGCGAAGTCAGACATGCTTCTTGGTATAGCTCAGAATTTGTCATGAAAACTATAGTTTGATAGTATGTATTTTTTATCTCACCTTCGTAGATAATTGAAATCAGACCAGTTTATTTCTGTCCATCTACCCATGAAATCCCTTTGTAATTCTCTTAGAGCAAGTGGGAAGCAATCTCATGAATTTTTCACAGATAAAGTCACCCATCTGGTTTTCACAAGAATCTAATTAACCATCATACAATCTATATCTAATAGTTGAGGATCCTGGTACATGGTTCACCTCCGTCATAAATCCATGTGGTTGAATTATGACTTGTGGAAAATGCGTCTCCAATTTTCCTTTTTGTCTTTAACCAAAAGGCAATCAGGAAGGAAACTAGTTACCATTGACACATTTGAAAAGAGGCTGTCTCAGAACGTGTCAAAATTTATTAATTGTTGCTATTGAAAGCACATTACCTTCATTCTCATTGAGAAGGTTGTTTTTCAGCTATAATCTAATTATGATTTTATCTTTTGGCTTCATTTTGTCAACAGTGATACAAGAGACACCAACAACAATCATGAGAATAGAAGCTGTGTTTGTATAATTCTTTGACGCTGCTTAACCAGAAAAACAAGTTACTTGTTGCATCTTCAGATATATATTCTTTGCTGCGGGTCCTCTGCTCTCAAATTTAAGAATTTTTCTACGACAACAGTTTGATTTGGCTGAGACTTGGGATGGGATCCCTTTGTAAGAAAGAGAGGCTATTGTTTCTTTATACAGCTATGTTGATTCTTCTACCAAGAATGAAAACTGCACTACTTGTTAATCTTTTCTTCTTTTTTCCTTATTTATTTATTTATTTTATCATTCCTTCTCTGCTGTAATATCAGAATAGTTTTATTAATTGATATTCTCCCTAGACGGAAGCTGAGGCAATTTGGCAGTTTTGTTGGGACCAAATAGAGAGCAACATATATATGATTGATATTGACAACAAGAAGCTGAGTGGAAATCCAATTCCTTCCCATGTAAAACCTTCGACTCCTTGATCTCGGCCTCCTTCCTGTGGCAGTGGCAGTTCCTATGGACATGACACCTGAATTTGCATTCAGCGTAAAACCTCTGTTATATATATGAGCATAGTATGAAGCGATCTTTTGGATCATTCATTGTGTGCATTTGTCCATCCGTTGGAATTTGACCCAAGAGCTTGGTAGGTGTTGGCTCACGTTCAGAGTAGAAGTGAGTTGATGTAGCTTTGCAAGTGTTGGTATGATTGAGCGACATGACTTGGATGCCTGACAAGTCCTCTCTCTCTCAAAATCACCAAATTAAACTTGCTGGTGTCTCACCAGCAAGTCTGTTGAATGCAGGATATGTTCAGTTTGTTCCTGATGACGAGTATAGTCTGGACTGAATACATACATTAATGTTCTAATTTCTATATCTAATAAAGTGGATGTGGTGATTCAATATTTTGCTCCTTCAATTCAAGAGTCCAAAGTCAGTCAGTGTTTCATGAAATGATTAATTAATTATATTTCTTCAACACTGTTGTCCAGATAATTTAATTACACTCGATATAGAATCTGACTGAATATACTATTTTAGAAAGCAATCAACAATAAAAACAAAAATAAAAATAAAATAAAATAAATATTTTGAACTTCTTTCAAAATTTATCCTGAGCTAAAGTTTCTATTATAAACTAAACCAAAAGCCATATCTGTATGAAACTCCAGATGATGATCAAGGAGGACCCAAAACTCGTGCTCATGTCAGTTCAGTTGCAATCTCTCGAGCACAATTGCAGAGTCAGATCTTTCAAGGTGGGAATTGATTTCCATGGCTCTCTATTTCTTGTCGAATATCCCAAACAAAGACTTGATGGCATTGATGGCATTCTCATTGATAAAAGATTCATCAAACCTTTTCATAAGTAGCTCAAATTCTTCAGATTTCCTGATGTTAGCTAGATCAGGGTCTGTCCTGATTCTCTGTGATATATATATATATATATATACGCACACATATATGGTAAGTTAACCATTTCAGATAGCTCTTGGAATCAGAATTTAAAATTAAAACAAACCACTGAAAAGTTATATGGTACTATTCATTTTACCTTGAAATCTTCAAATCCTGCTTCTAAGGCATCTTTAAGTGCAGAAAGTCCAGCTTGTATCTGAAACAGCAACAACCACAGAAAGAAAAAAAAGGCAAAATATGAATTATCAATCAGCTACAAGTAATTTGTAGGGACTACCACAAATTCTAATTACATTTGTTTTTTCGTATAGTTTGGTCATGCCAGACATGGAACATCAATAAAAGTAAAATGCTCAACTGTAACCAAATAAAAATCGAGGAGATCAGTTTAAGTTTTCAGGTTCTAATCAATTTTGGGTAGACAGACAGAGGTGTCAAGTGTATGATCATACTGGTGAGAGAAGATAAAGATTAGGCATGCTAGTTGGTTGTTGGGTTGGGATCAGTTATATATGCCAAAATGTTAGCATAAGGAAATGGCTTAATAGAGTTGTTAGGCGTAAGTAAAGTAATGGTGTAACCACATAACCATTGCTTTGAAACTATAAATACACTACCTGATTAAGTTTAGAATAGCAACATGCAACATTGTAACTTGCTACCGAAGCTTCGTTTGGATCTGGTTTTGTCCCCAACACAGACTCAAATTTTTCCAGTGCTTCTTCATATTTTGCATTCCTAGTGCATCCAATTTATTATGACACAGAAGGTGTTTGGAAGGTAACAAATGATCCCCAAAGGCATCTCAGGCCAGTATAGGCAAATAAGTCTCTTTATGTGTGTGGAGAGAGAGAGAGAGAGAAAGAGGTGTTGAACAAAACAAAAACAGAGCCAAAGAATATAAAATTTGACCAATAAAAAGGCTCACTTGTAAAGCTGCAGCCCTTGACGGAGGTCATTTTCTCTCTGTTCTTTCATCTCTTTCTTCCTCAAATAATTTTGCATCTGAATCAATTACAAGTTTGACACTATACTAATCAAACACTGAACAGCTCAAAAACTTGTCTCACATGAAAAAGTAATGAATATAAAAGCATAGGAAACATGAATTGCACTGTGCAACTTCAGCATGAGTTTTAGGATGGATAGGATATGCTCTACTCACTTGGATTTCCCTCACTCTATTACTAATTACACCAGAGTTCCTCTCGGCTCTGATAATCTCCTTTTCTGTAAGCTCACCTGTTTCATCCATCTTCCCTGCAAACCGTGTAAAATAAACAATAAAAAAATAAAGATAAAAATAATCGATTCACAATTTCAAAATGGCATACTACATACAAAATTCATAAGTTCAATTAGGACCATGAATGAAGTGAACTATGGAATAATTTTGACTGAGCAATATAATCATGTCGTCCGTAAATGTAATCTCTCTCTTTTTGAAGTTCAAGTGGGCTAATGTAAATCTGAATCAGTGCACGTACCTCAATCGATCTCGAATCAAAAAATTAAGATGATTATAATGTTAAAAGTGAAAAACAGTTTATGGAAGAACTAACTAACCATATCTTTTCTGCATTTTCATAAGTAATGGGCCAACTCTCTGTCGGATGGTGTACATCGTTCTCCCATATTCAGCAGCTGGCCATATTTCTTCTCCAAACACTGCACTGCGTACATTTCACAACTACTACTTGGTCAGCTACCTCACATTCTCTACTCTACTCGCTCAACCATGCATGGATATGCACCCAATCACAAATTTTTTTTTTCTTCCCCAAAAGGCTTAAGATAATATCATATATGCCTCAAATCAAATCATACACATCATACATATGTTAAAAATTGGTATGTAGGTAATTGAAATGTTAGGAATTGACGCTTCCTAACCAAGATTGGTGAAATAATAAACAAAAAAGAAAAAACAAATCACCCACACAACAACACAAGGATTACATGATCACCCACAGCTGCTGCGGTTTTCATTATGATCAGAAAAAACACAACTCTTTTAACCTAAAAGAGGCGCCACTCATCTATTTATAAGTATAGAATTAGGTTATACGGAAGCAAGATGAGAATTACGAAATGACCCAAAAAATTTCGGCCCCTGAACGCCCCTCCCTCTTGGGGGAGGCCCCTAAACCCCATTCGACCTAGTACTTATCAAGTCATCGACCCAACATGAAATGTGTGAATGGCATACTTAAATTGGGCAAACTGACAAACTTTCTAAGATATTAGTCATGATGAAGAAACCAAATCTTGACCAATAAATCATTATTCTGGTCGATATACCACATAATAAACAGAAGAATGACTGCTAAAATTATAAATCTTCCGAAAAAATTAATTACACTGAAAAATAAATTAAAATTTCCTAAAATTTGCATATATTCATGCAATTTCATATACTACTAGTATATAAGAATATACATATATATATATATATATATAGAGAGAGAGAGAGAGAGAGAGAGAGATACCTGGTGGCAAGTACTTTATCCCCAACAGTGAACATGCCAGACTTGTCAGCTGATCCCCCAACACCAATGGCATCAATGTAAGTTCCACCATCTCTGCCTTTTCTAAACTTCAACCCATATGGCTGCACCAATTCCACCTCATACTCTTCAGCTTCATCTTCCTTCTCACCTTCACTCTCCGATTTCGATGATGATGTCTTGGCCTCTGTTTCCGATGCTCTAACCATCAATATTGAAGTTGGTTTTTCCAAATGGAAGGTATTGCAGAAACTTATTGAATTGCTCAGAAATGAGAGATTTCTGGATACAGATTTCACAAATTGGGGTGACAGAGATAGGTATGCCTTTGCTGATGCTGCTGCTGCTGATGGGTTTGATCTTGCCAATGGTGGGGAAGAACAGAGCGATGTGTAGCTACTTGGAGCTATAATAGACATGGTTGAGTGGTTACTAATAATTACTTCTCTCTCTTTTTCTCTGCCTCTCTCTCTCTCTCTCTCTCTCTCTGTGTATGTGTTTTGCTGATTTTGAGGTCAGAATTGAGAGAAGAAGAAGAAGATCATTGAATTAAGTTGAGTTGAGTGAGTGCCCATTTGTTGATAATAGACTTTTTCTTTTTTTGGGTCTGGGGAGGGAAGGACAGAGATTAGTCTGCAAAAGATAACAAACGCGAGTGGACAAGTGGCTCTGATTAACAGTATGCAGCTCACCTATTTTCAGCCACGTGTCAATTTCTGGGTGGGCTAAAATTGTGGTCTGATCTGAGTATATTCGTTGTTCTTGAAATAAAATCATAGCGGGGACACGTGGCTACATCACAGCGAGCTGACACTATATCATCATGCATGTTCCGGGATGAGTTCAGGTCACTGACATCTTCTCTTCTTTTTTTTTTTTCAATTTTAGCTACATGCAATATAACATCAGTTAAGTCTGCACTTAGGCAAGCTTTAAAATTTTTCTATTTAGGTTATGGAATAAAATAGGTGCATAAAGTTTCTTATCCCACTCATTATTGAAGGGTTCTAAATGCCCCTGAAGAAAATTTCTTCACAAAATACAAGGATCTCAATGCATGAAGTGGAAGCAAGCGACTCATACAGGTCCATATACGAACGAACCGAACATAATGATACCAATTAGATCAGACTTAAATCCTCAACGATCAGCTTAGAACTAGATCATCCGAATTTCCCTCCAAGCATCGATAAAATAAAATTAAAAAAAATAAAAATCGTTGAGAAGATTATCTCATAAATCATAACCAGGCCACAGGTGAAAATTCTTTTTCATCTAAACTCAAGATTCAATATTATTTTTCACTTGTACATTCAAACTGCAAGCTGCTACATGCCGGTACTCTGACAAGCTAACCTAGTCAGATTCTTAGTACCATACCAGGACTGACTACAAATGAAAATTACAGAAAAAAAAAATAAAGCACTCAAGCACTCCTTGGCCACATTTTGCTACCCACTAAATTGAAGTTGGATTGTTTCTTTCTTCACCTTCGTCACTCCACAACGTTGTACAATGGTTTTAGTAACCGTATCCTGATACGGACAAGAAGAGGCAATGAATCAAATGCATTTCAAAGAGAAGTAAAGACACAATCTGAAGGTAAAACAATGTCCAACTTATTTTAAATCACCAGCTATTACCTGAATTGTCCATGGGGTTCCCGGCGGCCATTGGCTCAGGCTCTTTGATCGCAACAACCACACAATCTGACATCAAGAAAGTTTTAGCCACCGAGGCTGCATGCTCCAAACAACATCTGACCACCTGAATTAGTGCAACACAACAGAATTTTTCCAAGTCAGTGGAACACACGTCTTTAGTTCACCTGGCCTGCTAACTTCATAAAAAAGCATGAGCTGAGTAGTTTAAAAAAGTCATTACCAAAATAGTGGTCCAAAACAATATTACCTAAACCTACCGACAACAGGTACAGACTATGGATGAACCAACTCAACCAACCTGAATGTAAAGCTATATGAAGAAGCCACTGCACTCCTCACAATTTGAAGATAAAAAATGAAATGGTTGTGATAAGATTGATCCACTAATTGAATCATGTCTGTAAGCATGTGCCTGTTACTATAACAACATAATACAAAAACCTTAGGACCACCTAAGATTGGTAATAACTTGATTCCAAATTTCCACCGAACTACTGAAGTTAGTGCAATATAAACATATTTAAATGCATAAAACATATTGTCTGCTAAAGACAATACGTATCCACCAGTTTGCTTTCAATGATCCAAACATGCTATGCCTTGAAGAAAACCCGCAAACCAACAAATACTGAGTTCCAGCCTTTGGAGGAAGCAGATATCATTTTATTCTTGTAGGTATTCCATATTCCAAGCGTTGGGCAAACAGTAAGTTACCATTCAGACCTCCTAGTCTATCAGCTGACTTCTCACCTTCTGCGAGATAATTTTAAACATATCCTGCCCTAGCATTCTAACTGTATGCAACCTAATCGAATTTTTTTTTTTTAAAAATTACTATTGTCACAATTCACCTTGGTTGGATCAATTATTCCAGCAGCCATCAAATCTTCATAATTTCCAGTTGCAGCATTGTATCCAAATTTTGGGTTGTCACTGGAGAGCACCTGAAGAAAAAATAACATAAAATGACATCTTGAACATAAAACGTGACACCTTAATGATATAATAATATAGGTAATTACCTTCTCACTAACAACACTACCATTAACACCAGCATTCTTGGCAATTAACTTCAAGGGGTAACTCAAAGCTCTCTTAACTATATCTGCTCCAACCTGCAAACCACTCAAGTATAATTAGCAAGATGATAACCAGACTAATTGTACTGTTCTATGTGCATGGATTCCTTATATAAGTTACAAGACTGTTGGATGCCAGCTTACCTATAGACAGGTCACCAGCTCTCCTTGGCTCAACAGAGCAGAGATATCAAGCCTGTTGTTGTGTCCCATGAACCAAACCTCAAGAGGCCGTATCATGAGAGTTGTAGGGTTAGGTATAATACCTAGGAGGGTATATCATGTCATGACAAACTGTAGGTATGATACCTCTTTCAAGGTGTCAGGTAATGGGTCAATGGCCCTCTCTCTTTAAGACTAGTCAAGGATGAGCTACACAATACTCTAGGAAGTTCTGGAACCTTCCAGCTTCCTATATGATCTTCATAGCTTCTCAAGTCTTCCAAGAGCTTCCAAGCCACTTTACTAGCCTTTCCTCCTTGAGACTTCCCTTTTGTAGGTTATCCTGCCTTAGTGATTTGGTGGGGCGTGACACTAGGCCCTGCTCCCAGCCTAGGATGCCAAGTGATGGCCATGATAGTAGTAGCCCTAGCTAAGAAGGTGAGTGCATAGGGAATATAGAGGCAAACCAAGGGTCAAGCCATGTTGCTACCTAGTGGGAGTGACTGAGCGAGGCACACTGGTCAGCGATGCTCCTAATTGCCCCTCAGCATACCCTATGGGAATGAGAAGAGACATGGTTGAACAAGAGCTCGTCCGGGTGAGCCAGAGCCATGGCATTGCTGAGCGGGGCTATGGCCAAGCAACTGAGCTTGGCACAGCTGAGTAGTGTTGTGATCCATGCCTTGGGCTCTTCATACTTTGCCTTGTTCACTTGGTGCTTTGGCTCGCAACTAGGGTGCCAAGCACGCTAGTGGCCAAGCAGCCATACTTGGTGGTCTATATGTCCCCAGTTTGGCTGGACATATAAACCCATTTAGTCCACTAGGGAACATCACTGTGCCTTGGAAGGATTGCCATGTGGAGATGGTGATACCGAAGCAGCTGCAACATAGCGCCTGAGGGGCTTGCCACATGGCGAAGGTGTCCCAAAAATTATAAGACTTTGGCCAGTAGATGTATCTAAGGCAAATTAAAACATAAAATCACCTTTTCCTCGTCATTATCAAGGCTCTCCTTAATGCAATCAACTTTTGAAGCAAGCCTCAACAGAGTGCATCCGCCACCAACAACAATACCTTCTTCGACAGCTGCCTGAAAAGCAATCCCAACGTCACTGTTAGAACCTGTTGTTGTTTTACCAACAAAGCTGAGGAGGAACTACATATATGAATTGAAATCTATGATCTCATCAAGAACTTGCCTTTGTTGCATTAAGAGCATCTTCTACTCTCAATTTCTTCTCTTTCAGCTCTGTCTCAGTTTGTGCTCCAACCTTCAAAATTTAATTGGAAATCAGTACACATAACAAAATCAAAATTTATTTCAGAAACCACCAAACTGAATTAATCAAGATCATATGATTAAAACTGAAAGATTACCTGAATGACAGCAACACCTCCAGACAGTTTTGCTATTCTTTCATTAAGTTTTTCCTTTTCATAATCTTGCTCCGCAACCTGCTTAAAACAACCCCGCATAGTCAGCATTGAAAAATATGCATGTGTGTGTCACGCATGCAAAGGGAGAGAAAATCAAACCTCTATGAGATTTCTAATCTGGGCAACACGTTTATTCACTACTTCCTGAGTGCTCCCATCGCCAATTATTGTTGTCGAGTCCTTGGTGAGCACAACCTTAGCAGCATGACCCAGGACTTCTTTATCTGCTTGGTCTAAGGTAAGCCCAACCTCCTCTCTGATAACAGTCCCTGTTTATCGAGAAGAAAAATCTCTTAACATGAACAAGGAAGAAACAGACAAACCCAAGAACATTCCTATTTACAGTTATGAAGAGGAGAAATATTAGTGGATGCAGTGGAAAGAGGGGGAAATTGAGATTGAGTGAACATTCAAGTTATATATAGTATGGTGGAAAACTATGACCTCCAGTCAGAATCGCAATGTCATCAAGGTACTGGCTCTTTCTTTCTCCAAATCCAGGAGCTTTCAGAGCGGCAATCTTCAGTGCTCCTCTAAGCTTGTTCACAACAAGAGTTGCCAATGCTTCTTGCTCAATATCTTCCGCAACTATTACAATTGGGTACCCACCTCTGATAGCATCTTCCAGGACGTTAATAAGATCCCTTGCATTTGATATTTTCTTGTCAACCAGTAGCAACTGCATGAACACCAAAAGAATAATTAAACCGAAAAAACAAAAAATACATAGTTATTATCTAATAGAAATAAATGCCGTTCTTTACAACTACAAGAAATAAACCTAACATCCCTACCTTGCAGTTCTCATATTCAACTGTCATTTTCTCACTATCTGTGACAAAGTAAGGTGAGATATATCCGCGATCAAATTGCATCCCTTCGACAACATAAAGACTGTTCTCAGCACTTTTACCCTCTTCGAGAGTCACCACACCCTTCCGACCCACTTTACTCATGGCTTCAGCTATCATATTACCTACTTCATAGTTGTTCCCAGCACTAACGGCAGCCACATCTGCTAGTTCACTGTCTTCAACCTACAATTCATATTGCAGTCCGTAAGTCCTAGACTACTATAATAAATTGAGACCAAGACATCAAGCTTTTTAAATAAGCCTGTCCAAAAAATTTAGGACAATTTACAG